CTTTCCTCCGTTTTATTTTCTGCAGCTGGTTCAAACGTGAAATACACACATTTTCTAGAAAGATTCTTACCGCCACTGCTGCCAAGTCACATGGGCAGCTCAAGTAAACCACACCATGTCTTGTTACAGTACTGTATGTCACAGTGATCATTTGAAAACCATACGACCTCAAGCAATGCTCTTCTGCTTTGGTGTTATAGTATTGAAAAAGTACTATATAACAACACTCAAAACAAACCGGAGTCTCTGATATTTTTACTCATTAGTATATTTGCTTATAGAGTTATCAGGATACAAGGTAAGCCATCTGTAGCAGGCACTGACTTGGCTCTGTTCAAGGTGGTCAGAAAACATTGAGCACAGCTTTAGCATGTTTATGCAGACTCAGCCTGCCTTAGAAGCACTTAAGATCAGTGCTTCTATTTGGCAGCCCTTCAAGTGTATCTGTCTGCTGTGGAACTTCAGGCTCTCTGGTATCAAATTTAGCGAAGCTCTGCTGCCTTGTTGAAGAAAGAAACTTTATCAGATGTTTCGATTAAAGTGACACCTAACACAAGTAAATAATGATGTGGTAAAAATAACACATTCAACTTGAAAACACTGGCTTGGAAAGGCTACGCAGGGACAAGACACTTTTTTTTTGTTTTGTTTTGAGCAGATGTGAATGGAAAATTGTATTTGGCAACAAATGCAACCTCTGTGACACCAGGATTTCTAACTTGTCAGCTATGGCTGGAGAATATACTTTGGTACAGTATGTGATCCTACCCTAAAATATAGACCCTGATCTAAACACTGTTACATTGACATTATACATTAACAAAACTATCCTGTAAAAAATATGTAGTGCTAGCCACTGTCACTGTTCAGTGCTGTTCCTCATCCTTCAAATGATATTTACTTCAAATATCCTCAAAGTAGTGTATTTTGTTAAGCATTGCAGCTCTCAGTTTTTGTGTTAATTTAGTTATATTTATGCATATAGTACAATGCACTATGCATTCAGAAAAAAGGTCCAATTTTGTCATGTCTCACTACATCATCTTTTGCCACATGCTTGATTAGACTCATACCAGCCCCCATTTTGGAGTGCCTGGGATATTGTTTACCCATACTGTACATACCCATACCCAACATTTTCTCCTGTCTCTGTCACTGACCTCTGTAACTCTTTCGAAGCTGCCAAAGTCCTCACAGTTTAAAGTTTCCTCCTTGCCCAGCTCCTCAGTTTGCAGGGAAAACCTCACCTAGGAAAAGGAGCGTCCAGGCGTCTGTGACGTCACTTTGTTCAAAAAGATATTAAGGGTCTTTGAATTTTTTTTGTTATCCCTCAAGTGTCTTTCAGCTGCTCCTTCAATGGTTTTCATGGCTACATCTCTGATCACACTTCACTAACTGACGGAGGGATCATACAGAGATATGTGAATGCATTCTCAAAACATTTGAGCCACTATCATTGCACACGAAGGCTACTCAATTAATTGTAACCCATTAAGGTAATGTTGTGCACTTAAGTTCTGACACAGCAAAGGGCTTGAATACTGATGCAGTCGTAAATTTTCTGTTTTCCCTTCATACCTACTGTATTTGCTCATTACCTTTTGTTTTTTATGCTTTGAATTTGTAAAGTTATGGACAGAAAAACAGTAGTTGCTACATCAAAGTGTCATAACTACAAACTTTAAAGTTACAAAATGTGAAAACTCAGCAAGGGTGGGAATATTTTTACATTACATCTTACATTTATAGAGAGTAGTTAAGGCAACAGTTTATTTCATGCACTAATTCAGGTAACTTACATCACTGAGGTGTTACTCTATAAGTGTGCATCCAGCATAACAGGTGTTGCACTTACATGATACTCTTCCCCTCTGCACTTTTCATATGATACTCAGTATATTCAATTCTCTGGTGATCAAGTGTCAGCAATGTTCTGCAAGTTAACTGTTTGTGAGATGTTAAATATATGGAACCGTGCATTATAGGAAATATTTTGTACAGGAGGAAAAACTCACATGTTCCACATACAAATATTACATTTTCAAAGCAAAATCAGTACATTACAAAACTATTTCTTCTTTGTTTGCCAAATTTGTCGAATTACAATTAAATTGGGCTTCACTGAGAGAGACCATGTCAGCAACCGGCTCACTCCATACATTATAAGCATATGATAAGCATGTGACTCCCAGAACAGAAGAACAGGCAAAGAGAAGAGGAAAACCTGTATCTGCAGACAGCCATGTGACCACAGTGATGACAGAAACTTTCTTTCGGTTGACTTCCTGCTGTTCAGTGCAATGGGCTAGTGCTATATATATATATTATACTAATCTGTGTGTTTGTGTCTCAGACAACCAAATTACATTGTGCTAGAAAGATTATTATTTAGAATGGCATTGCATAAGACTGTTTTTTTTTAACTAATGTTATTGCGTCCAATGATAATTTTGTGTTTTTAATATAAGATATTAATATAATATATATTATATTAATATTCATATATGTGTTTATAATATAAGATTAGAAAAACTAGAGGCTGGAACAGGAATATTTTTATGTCATACCACAAATTTAATAACAGATATTTACAAAAAGGTGGCGCTATTATGCAAAATGTTAAGATCCGTACAAGAATACTGTACGCACTCCACCCAAATAACACTCCTTAGAAAGATTAGAGTAAAACCGAAGAAAAATAAACATTCACACTTACTGTAATTTGGTACTGGGTCTCAAAAGTCTCAGTTCTGGGAAGTGGAGATGATATCAAACCAACACATCCAGGGCTACATTCAATGAGCCACATCCTCATGAAGATCTCTTTTGACATGGCAGGCAAGTACCTCTACTGAAAGTGCTGCTAACATTTAGACTGTTTGGAGCTGCTCAAGTAAAAGTACTTTTTTAAAACTTTTATAACTTTCATGTCACATACGTGTCACACACTGCAAGAGCCTCATCTTCACAAGATCACCTAACAGAAGCGTGGAGTTCAGGAACGTTTTATTTGCAAAGCAATTATTTTGTACAATTTTAACTTATCACTAAAATTCACAGATGTAGCTAAGCCCAGTTATATATATGCTGTAGCAGTACAAAGTAGTTTAAACTCTTACACCTGCAACAAATTTGAATGTTTCACACATATTTTGTGATGTAATTGTTTTCTAATCCTAACATATAAGGATTACATCATCGTGCAAGTTTAAATAAGGGGAGGGGAAGACATTAGGTTACGAACCTCTCCTCTACCTTGAGGAAAAAGCCTGACTGAACTTAAGACTCTAACAAAGTCTTCATCTAATTAGAAATACATTTTTAAACCATCTGCCAGTACTATGTATTGTCATAGACAAATGGAACAAAAGGTAGCAAGCTTTTTATTAATAGCAAAGTACTTATCTAATTCAACATTTTCTTTTCCCCCAAAGCTGTACTAATATAGTTGAAATCCACAAGTTAAGAGACTCATGGTTAACACACTTTATTGTATGACTGGTGTCCAGTTGCTACCGTCAGTCACCCTAAACTAGTACTTTTCAAATAGTTGAAGGTTTATCAGGCATCAAATCACCTTGAAGGCTCACTGCTGTATTCTGTGATCTCCTAGAACATGTCTATGTGACTTTGTCAGTGAAATCCCTCTGTAATTGCAATTACCAATTTCACTAGTCCATTACCAGAAAGCAGCTTATTCCTGCTGAGGGTCATGACAACCTAGAGCCTATCCTGGAAGCACAGTTAAGTTGGAGAGGAAACCAGTCCATTAACTACTACAAGCCCAATTAAGGTGTTTACTAATTCCCAAAAAAATAAAGTACCTTGGACTCAGACCATGGACTTCATGGCAAAGTGCTGGGTTTATAATTTTTAGATGCGGGTCAAATTATTCCTTTAAGATGAAGCAAGGCAAAAAATTAGGTGCTATAATGTTCAGTCTCTCCACAGCATACAATATGTTCTTAAGAGCCTTTTTGCCAGAAATACTATCTCTTTTTTTGTCAAAAAAGAACAGTGGATAGTGATTGTCTCACACTAAACTTCCTAAATAAAATATTTGACAGCTAAACCAACACTGGTTTGCAGGATGACTTATGTTGTGATTAAAACTAGAAAATTAAACATCAAGACACAAAACACTCGTAACCTACCATCTTTCAGCCGAAGTGAATGCACTCTTGTGGCCAGAACAAGCAAAATCCCCTAATGACACTCATCAAATACACATTTTAAAATGTGACTGAAAGAAAAATGACAGGTTAATTGAAAGGAGAAGGGGTCATCACACTGAAAATTGAAAAAATCTCAGAACATACCCATAACAAACCCATTTCCAGTTGTGACAGCTAAGTTTAAACACAATTACAATCACAATGCACATTCAAAAACGAAACTATCAGATTAAAGAAACCTAAGAATATATAAAAATAAAGAAAAGAATAATATTCCAACTCTCAGGAACTGCAACATTGCCCTGTTAACCAAAGAGCTGTGGATGACTTTTATTCCACATTTCAGGTATTTCAGCATCCAGCAAAGCAGCAGGATTAAACTCCCAAAATGACATCCTAGCTAATATACCCTGCTTGAAAGAAGTCGCTCTTCGTTAAGCTGACAAAAGTTACTAATAATTCCAAATACATTGGCCCACAGTAAATTAACCAAGTTTACTTGATCTCAGTTTCACTGAAGAAAAATATTCAGATCATGCATGACTGTAGATTGTTTCAAGCACGCGGCTCTGTTTAAATGTATGGATTTCCTAAAGCCAAAATGGTTTTCTGTTGAGCCGTCTTAAGTACACATAAGACCACATTGCTTTATAGCAATATATTGGCCAAAGACCTTTTAGCTCACATGCAAAATAAATTTAATTTCAAACATCCTAAAATACTGTGATGCATTAAACAGTAAAATTGGTGGAAGAATGCAAGTATAAAATAATGACAGAAATGCAGTCTTACATAGCTGGAACAAAGCAATCAAAAAAGACCAAAGAAAGTAATTCTCCAGTTTAATTGCACTTCCACTTGTGCTCTCCAGCTCGTGTTTAAAGCAAGTGCAAACTAAGTGGAATTTAAAACTGAGAAAAGGAGACTTCTCTTTACCCAAAGGGAGTCTAGAACAAAATACCAAGGCATGTAGTTGAAGTTGAAATCCTGGCTTCTTTCAAGAAGCAGCTAGATGAGATACTTTTATCAAGTAAGGAATAAAACAGGCTACATTGGCATCCTCACATTTGTAACCATTTTTAGATTTTAAATTAAGAATTTAAGCAACTGCTTTTTATGGAAAAAAACAATACCAAAAAAACAAGCTGTATCACAAGTATCACAGAATTTCTTAAAAGTACTGTATGCCTTATCTTATTTCCATTAAAATCAAGCTGGTTTCAGTTACTTTTTTGCAATCTTGTCAATTATTTTGATTTCTTAAAGTTGTTCAATTTGTTGTCAATAGTGTAATAAGACATCATCAGACTCACGGAGTAAGCACCTGCCCGCCTAATGCCTTTCATCACCCTTCGTCACATTGAAACATTTCTGTGATGAAATGTCTCCTGCACACTATGTACTTATTCACTTGTACATCACATTACATCAGTCATTACAGTGACTAGTGAGCAGGAAGGGCCACTTCACATCACAATTGTGATTAGTGAGCAGGAAGGGCCACTTCACATCACAATTTGTGCAAACTCTTGCCCTTGCGTGTGACAAGACTAGGGGTTTGCAACAAAATGGCAACTATACAGTACTTTCACAAAGTTCACAGTTTTGTGCTATGTTGGAATTTGTAAAATTTTGCAATACCATCAATTTGTTACTGTGCTTTAATAACCAGTCTGAGAAATTAGAACAGAAGCTCCTCTTTAAAAGGATGTTTTTCACTACAACAGATAGGTAGGGTGCCATCATGGACTTGAATTGACGCAGTTCATTGCTTCACTGCACTGTACCTTTTCAAGCCCGGCAAGATAAACTATTTTTAACAGCGATGGTTCTTGTAACTTAAATGTGTCTTAGATTAATCTCAAAAATATATTGAGGGTCTGTAATATGACGTATTAAGATTATGCACACAGTGTTACTGAAGAATACAGTTCAAAGTGGCTTAATTGTATACATATTCATGCAAGTTGGATATACACGGTCTTGTTTTATTGCACTATGTAAACCAAAGTAATATACAGGTATCTGTATAACAAGTATTTGTTCCTTTACGATTCTCTAACAGTTGAGTATAGACTAGAGTAGGAAGCTAATGTGCCACACTGTAGGAAAAAAAACAAATACCCCTCTCTTTTTACTATACATACAGAAGTCAAGGTACTACTAAGATTTTACCTGAATGACTGGATGGCAGCCATTGTTACAGATGGATCACCACTCAGTCTGATCAGATTTGCTTTGATCAGATTTACACAAACTTGCACGCAAAGCACAGAGACGTTTCTTAGAATTATTCCGTAAACTGCAATCATGCTATAAAAAGCAACTAGAAAATTACACAATCACACAGCACTTTTACAAAAAGAACACTGTAATGGTTTTCAGTAATATACACAAAACAAAAAAGGCTCTACATTTATTCACAGACAATAATGCAGACATTCTCTGGGAAGTCAGAAATGCTGGAGTCCATTGCACCATATTAGATCGTCAACATACAAACACCCTATTCACGTTTGAGGCGATATTAAAAGCACATATGAACAGCCAACATGAGAAAACAAACAGAATATTTTTGATCTGATGACGATATGAGGTAAAAAACAAATTAGTCCCGTTCAAGCAGACTCATCCTGTGACAGCTATGGAGCCAAGTATTCTAGTTCAGTGCCTCATATGTTTTACCTTAGTTTAATTAGTACAACCGATAGCTTTTTTTAACAATTTATCTTTGGGTAAAAGAATGACAAACACTGTTATGGTATTTAACAGAAATTCGGAATCTAATAAGGTACAGAAGTCCAATACTGTACAAAATTACGGAAAAAATGATTTACAAATTAAAAGGATGAATGATTTTAACAGAGGGCGGATATTGCAAGAATTTTCAAATAAAAATCTATAAAGTACATGCTTCTTTTACATTTGCTGTTAAAAAAAATTCTGAAGACTCAATTCATTGATAATACTGAAAATACACATATGGTCCTAATCCAAAAGACTATATGAAAAGTCAACATGAAAAACAAATAAATACAAATTGAAACAAATTAATAAAGCACCTTAAAAAAGTTCATAACTGTTCTTGAAATATGTACAAGTAAAAAGAAAAATCTTTAACAAAAAGATGGGTTTCTGAGGTGCAACTCATTTACAGGACTCCACAGTAGCATGTAACACCTCTACATAAATAAAGTTCATGTCCAAGAATGAGCAGTAAGCAGGCCTCATTCTTTGTATTTGAATTCTCAATGAGAAATATTCTATTAATATTGAATAAATAATCTTCATCACTGTCAGTTCTAAGGATGAAAGACACTTGAAAAATCAAGTAGAGCGAGAAATCCTTCAGCGTTAGCTTTCATCGTTCCCGCAGAAGCTGCAGTGAACTCCTCCAGTAAGGTCCGACATGATGCCAGCTCGCACCAGGCTGCCGATGAGTGTCCTCTCGGTGTCCACGTCGTGCATGTGCTGCACCAGCATGGCGTCCATGGAAACATCTTCATAATAGTGTAGCGGAGCCCTTGGCTGGCTGAGGTTGTACCCAAAGCCCGCTAAGCTGACCTCGTCGCACAGGTACGTGGCCAGGTTGAGAGCGCTGATTCCCAGGGTCGGCACGTTCTAGACACAAGAGTGCAGGGTCAGTCAGGATTGTGCTGTGGAGTCCTTTCTTCTAGGCCAGCCCCTTCCTAGCTTTTCACTCTCATTCAGTTAGCAGTCCCGCCATTTTGTTACAGCATCACCTTTCCATTTCGATCCTTATTTTTTGGCGCTTTTTTTTGCCATTATTTTTCCATGTGGCTCTGCCATTTTGAGTTGCCTTTGGAATTGTCTATCAAAAACACTTTCTGAAGATGACTCAAAGCCTACAGCCTGGAAGAACAGGAATAACCTGTTGCCCCACCCTTCTCCCCTATAGTAAGGCACTGTGGCATAAAAACTGTTTTCATCTTTAAACCAACCGTTATTGACCTCCCAAGAGACTGCACGTCATTGTTCTTTCGACAGCAAAATTAACTTACATTGACAATGAATACTTTTTCTGTTTTATCCGACTCACAAAAGGTCATTAAAGTTAACTGTGTCATCAACTCATATTTAAATGGAGTAATGCCCAACTAAAACTGGAAAACCATAGCTTCATTCCAGTTGTCATCATGGTTCATCCAATGGGCTAAATTCAACAAAGATAAAGATAATTCTTAATGCAAAAAATTCCATGTGTTGAATATCATCTCCATGCATTTAAACTGAAGTCAAACATCAGACAATCTGTATGGGACAGACAGATCAATAGAGCGAGTAAATAATTCTAACTATTATATTCTATATATTAAGTCTAGTCCAGCAACCTTTGGCATACGCATGCATCAGACCTCAAAGACGGTCAGTCTTCCAGTTTCCACCTTTAATTTATGGTCATGTGCCAATGCACACCTGCAATTATAAAACAAGGTTGACTGCTCTCAACTTCACATCATGATCGTTTTACCTAATAACCTCGAACCCGGTATTAACACTGACTGGTGATCAGGCCTGCCAAACCTGTTTCAGTTCTTACTCTCCTGTTACTTATCACACCTTTGTTAATCCGCATTCATTATTATTCAAAGCCACCATCTGAAGGAAATATTCCTGGCAAATACTAATGAAACATGAAACAGCAAATTACATGTGCAATTTAAATTTGTAAGGATTTGTAGAAAGAAATATTAGTTTGAAGGGAGGTATGAAGCTGAGTCAATGTAAAAAAAGTAAATGAATATACTATAAGACTATGGAAGATTCAGTTGTATGCAGGTGAATTACAAAGATTAATTCACCTCCAAACAATAAGTATACACCTGTTTTATCAATGATTTTGGGAAAAGGCTCTCAATATTTTTATTATTCATGAATTTAAGATTCATCCCATATTCAAAGTTATTGTACAGATTATTAATAATAACAATAATGCGTCTTGTATACAAAGATATTTATGTAGCTGACATCAGACTACCATTTTAAAGTCAATTACACTGCAAAACCATATCCTGCAGCAAGTCCTAAATTTGTACATCAGGAATACCAAGAAATACTACATACCTGTGAAAAATGTAGACGTTACAATAAAAATAATTTACACTTTTATGTATTTTACTAGCAAACTTATAATCTTTTTGTTGTGTTACATTTCTGTACAGATACACTAGGGTGCAAAACTAATGAGTAATATGTTTAAGTGCAGTTAATAAAGCATGTCCATTGTAACATCTGCATTTTATTTATTTACATATATACAGTATTATTGACATTGATATGAGCCTATGCCTTGCCCATCCAAGAGCACGGTCACATTCACAGACCTGAAATAACTTAGGCTGTTGACTTTTCACAATGTTATCTGATCGCACTGTGTTTTGAAATGACTGTAGCTCCACAATAGTAGTTCAACTAGTTCACACAGGGTGACAACTGTGTAAACTGGAAGTGTTAGAAGAAAACCAAGCCACAGTTTATAATGGGTTTATGCAATCATACCTCCTCCCTATGTACTTCTGTACGAATTAAAAGAAATAGTTACCTGGTCCCACCCCCAGATTTTCGGCTGTGGAGCAGGGAAGTGGAGCAGGTCCAGTGCCGTCTGTCGAATGATTTCAGGGTTCAAGATTCGAAACTGTGAGATCCCTATGGGGATTTCTTCAGGCACCCTCTGCCAGAAAAACAGCCAGTCCCAGAACGACTAAGAAGAAGGATTATTCATATTAACTTTGGTACTTTTTTATTTACGTATTCCTTAGACAAATACATTCAGTCACAATGCTTTTGCTTCATTCCAAGTCAAACATTTATGAATGCCTCTTAATGAGATCATTATCCCAATTTCACTTAGTTTTAGAGATCTTAATCTGTTCTCACTTGTTAAATATAAAATACTGAAAATACCTTGTGGTCAAGTTGGGTTCCAGTTGTGGTTTAGTAAATGTTAGCAACCTTGGTGCCCCTGCAACACGCTAACTACACAAATCAAACCTACCAGACAGGAGTCTCCAAAATGATGGTCACACATCATCACCTGCAATTTGTACTCCGATAAGCTGTCCTGTCTCACCACCTTCATATTTCCGTCTATATTTGTGACATGAGGCAGCACTGATGGACACTCACATGATAAGCATTGACACAAAACCAAGAGTTCAGCCCTGGTTTGTATCCTCCACTGTATCAGGTGCATAACCAGGACATGGAAATCGTCGTACTCGTGTACAGTTGCGGCTTCTCTTTCCCTTTAAATTACAGTGACAAGCTGTTGATTTGACAGGGTTACCCTAAATTCTCGAAGTCCACACCGCGGTGTCGAAAGGAAACCATGGGGTCTGATTTGGCCAAGAATGGTGTTAATCCAAATCACCCCGTTTTATTAAAGAGAACCAGGCCCGCTTTTGTGCAGGGCAGATCAAGACTGCCTGTGGTGATTTGACCTTTCTGGAAGGAATCACTTCTGGAGCCTGATTGAAGATAAAAATCAAACAGGCTTCACTCCAGGCAAATGATCTAGACTGAAAAAGTGTTTTTAATTTACATAATGCTGATGCCACTGTAGTTGTACAATTTGGAATTCAGTAATGTGATCCTTCCTGATAATTTTTTTCTCTTTTAGTGTTCTATACTACATCATTTGTTTTCCTGTTACGGACAGTTTAATTCATTTTAAGTTTGGAATGGTTTCAGCTTCTTATTGATATATTTCACAATATGCCAGGAATGTTTAACTGCTTGCATAACTGGGGCGGAGCGGTGGCTCTGTGGCTAAGAATCTGCGCCTGTGACTGGAAGGTTGCTGGTTCGAATCCTGAATAAATGGCGGACCCTGCGCTCTGACCCCAAGCTTCTCTCCCTGTCTGTGTGTCTTGTGGAGAGCAAGTTGGGGTATGCGAAAAGACAAATTCCTAATGCAAGAAATTGTATATGGCCAATAAAGCAATCTTATCATTTAAGCATTGACTAACAGCAGCGGTAGCTCTATTGTATTGCTATTGTTTTCCTAATGAATGGAACCTAAAACTTCTACCGCTGTCAGTTAAACAGTAACTTGATTGTTTTCTTTTGTCTAGGTCAGGGGTCGGCACCTTTTTACAAGGAGTGCGTGAAAAGTTAGCTCATGCACTTGGTTTTACTGATTTGTGTGCCACTGACATTTTCCAATATAAAAAACAGCCCTACTTATATTTTTTTTAAAAAAAGTTATTTACTATTATTAATAACATCACTTTATTAACCCTTTACAATTTCTTGCATACCCCAGCTTGCTCTCCTTGAGACACACAGACACAGATATGGAGAGATCAGAGCGCAGGGTCTGCCATTGTACGGCGCCCCTGGAGCAGTTGGGGTTGAGGGCCTTGCTCAGGGGCCCAACGGAGTAGGATTCCTCTGCCAGCTGCGGGATTTGAACTGGCAACCTTCCAGCCACAGGCGCAGATCCTTAGCCACAGAGCCACTGCTCTTTATTATTACATCAATTAAGGCTTCAATTATCTGATTAAGGTGGATGGAATATAGGATGGCCCCTATATTACAATATATTATATAAAATTATTCATAAATGCCAATTAGTGTGATTCTTGCCCTTGTTTTTCCTTGCCGAGGTCTTCAAGCTCGGGTTCACAGCAGAGTTTGAAACTGCCTGTGCAGCAAGGTAACAAGAAAATGTCACCAATGTAGTCTCATAGTCATCACATTAAGATTACGAAAACCCCAGCACAAAGGTGTTCCTGATGAAATAATACAATGTACATTTACCATGGGGTGGCCAATGTACTTTGCAATGATCTTTAAAATCCCCTCTGTTTTCCAATGATGGCATCATCAGCCATCACAGAAAATATTTTCTTGAGGTCAATTCCTTTCCCCTCAAAACAATTAATATATGCCTTAGCTACATCTTCCCTAGACCTCCATCTGAATCACAGTACCTCACAAGAATTGCTCATCACAGTATGTAATTTATATCCATGCACTAGGAGCACAAACAGCACAGTCTTTATGTTAACAAATCCATATTCATCTCTCGAAAAGGGCTGGAATGAGCAAACCTCCAATTTTGCCATCTCAGCCAACTGCCATTTTGTCCACATTCTTTGACTTAACATTTTTCACAGTTAACTGCAATCAGCAGCACAGATTACAGGTTTTCCTGTGAAAACAATAGGTTATCCCCACTAAAAATAATGCAGTAAATAAAGCAAGTAAATATATATATTTTCCTATGCTAAAGAGCTTTCATTGAATAGCATGTTGTAGAGAATTACAGAAGAGTCAAGCATAGTTTATCTTTTTTTAACTTAATTTGTGGCTTATTGGACTTGTATTGCATGTGCTGCTTTCCTTGGACAAACATCCCTTTGAGTGTCAATAATCCGCAGGTGGGCCATAGGTTGCAAAACAGAGCCCTGGCGAATGTTGGTATATTGGAGACCACAATGCATGTACTCTGAGCTATTTACACACATATCATAAACTCACCTTAACTCAAACATTTTCTAATAGGACCCACAGGTGGTTCTAAGGTAAAATCAAATTTACAGAAGCTGAGTCTTGTGCAACCCATGTAGAGGAAGGACTGCATTTTAAAGGTAGCATTTGTACATTTCCACAACCTCTTGCCCTTCCTTAACTTTGAGGATAAGGGAATGAATACAGTCTCCATTACAAGAGGCACAATAAATGTTTTTATCAGATTTTCAGCAGACCACGTAGTCAGCAGCATTATTCTGCATTTTTTTATTTGGCTAAATGAACAATATCACTCTTCATCAGAGCAGGGCAGGGATTAGATCAGCAGGAGGAAAGCAAAAATAAAACAAAGGGGCTTTCTGTGCCTTTTTATGAACTGTCAGCTGGTAAAGATTCCAGCTGGAGGGGGGAAAAAAAAACAAAACTGAAAAGCAGCTGCAACTCACCACCCTCTCCTTCTTCATCATCGCCTTCACCCAGCTGAAATCCACCGATTTATAGACCACGGCCACGAACTGCACCTCAGGGTCAACGTCCTCCCACACCACCGGGCTGCCCTCAGGATAACTCATCCTGATCG